GATAAATTCTTACCAAGACTTTCTCAGTTATGTGGTTATCCAACCCACAAATTTGATTGGGTGAAAAGTAGAAGGTTTTTCGGCAAAAAAGTACGCCAAATTATTAGGGAGCATACATTATTGCATGATAAATGAGAGCAATTGATGGTTAAAAATAAACAGTAAATGCACCATTTACACTGAGATAACACGAGGTAATGATATAATTCAAACTCAAGGTGCAATTTTAAGTGCAAATATTTTATTTAAATTCTCAAGCAGTAACACAACATTAAATTACAAACACAGTATAAATTATTTTTATTCCGATTTCCTCGTAGTAGTGATGTGTTGATCCGTGTCATATAACTCTGCACCTAGCAAACTGGTGGACACGCTCTTTTCATTCTCGAATTATGTTCTTGAATCATGTCGTCGATTCGATCATTATTTTCACCATCTGAATAAGAAAACAAATATTTATCATTATTCATTTTATATTGTCATTGTCTTGGAAATGTATGACCAAAAAGGTGAATATCGGGGATGAGAAGTTGTTTGGACCCTAATTCTTAGAAGTAGTATGAGCAGTTTGAGATGGGGGAAGGAGCATTGTTAAAATTAAAATCTTAGGATTGATAAGAAAATAGAGCAGATTATACGTTTATATGGCAAAACAGATGTTATAATAAAAACTGCAGTTAGATATTTGATGTATGAGAAAAGATCTTATTTATTCAACTTCATACACTTGGTGAAATCAATAAAATAATATATATAAAGATGTTTTATTTTCGGATATTTGTGTAAAAAGATGCGTAATAATACAGTATTTCCATTCAGTATTGTAATTATTATATTATATTATGAAGGAAAAAAATATAATCAGCATAATATACTATATTATACAGAGATTAATATAATATAATTAGAAATAAGTGAGATCCAAATATATTATTTGTACATATAAACATTTACCAAATCCGATTATCTCAATAAGAAAATGTAGCAGGATGTTTTATTCCCAGTATAATATTATTTTTTAGAATTATTTGCACCAATTTATATTTATTCTGTCTTTCTAAAATATTATTGGGTCATATTTATCAATCCAAACTGATGATTGCAGTTTATATAGAATCTTTTCCATTCTAAAAAATATTATTTTCTAGTATTTTCCAATCTAAGCAGAATATATCAAATTATATTGTATTATTTGGGTTCTAAAAAATATTATACTCGATTATTCTCGTCCAACTTGATGTACAATCCATCTGGTTAATTACTTAACCAAACAAAACAAAGAATGCACAGCATGGCATGGTTAATAGGATCAACTGTTCTACTGGCCTTCTCATCTCTATTACTTACTCTATCACACTTATTTTATTTTGATTGTTATATTTCTATTTGAAAAATATTTACAAATAAATGTTTAGAAGAAAGAAATTTAACTTGATTGAAATTAATGTTAAAAATGGAGTAAAAGTGTGAAAAAGTAATCAATTAAAAATCAAAAAATTAACTTTCCAATGAGTTAATCGATTCAATCCAAATTTTAACACAATGTTAATCATAGAAAGAGGGATTCTATACAATTAAACAAATATGAATAATTCAATTTCCAAATTATTTTTTTTGTGGAAATTAGAACAATCGGCTCTAGATATTAATCCATTAACTCCAACAAATGGATTAACTCTCACAAACAGATTAGTAATCAGTGAACAAAACTCATCTCGTAGAAATTGAAAAAACTTAGGGATTAAAGAATTACTTATATTGCTCTGAATTCAATACATGAATGTGAATGATGAAAATCTGCATGATTTTGAAAGAATTGTTGGCCAAGGGGAGGGGATCATTATTCGTTAGGTACAGGCCTGTATTAAATGTGTAATGATTTTAGCTTTTTAAACTTAATATGGCTGACAAACAATGGAGTGAAAATGTGAAGAAATACATTGATTAAAAATCAACTTTCCGTTGAGTCAATCAATTTAATCAAAATTTTAACACAATGTAAATCATAACATTAGGGACATTATACAATCAAATAAATATGAAAAACTGAATTTTTGAATTATTTTTTGTGAAACTTAGAACTGTTGGCTCTAGATATTAATCCATTAACTCCAACAAACGGATTAACTCTCACAAACAGATTAGTAATCAGTGAACAAAACTCATCTCATAGAAATTGAAAAAACTTAGCGATTAAAGTATTACTTATATTGCTCTGAATTCAATACATGATTGTGAATGATGAAAATCTGCATGATTTTGAAAGAATTGTTGGCCAAGGGGAGGGGATCGTTATTCGTTAGGTACAGGCCTATATTAAATGCATAATGTTTTTAGCTTTTTAAACTTAATATGGCTGACAAACAATGGAGTGAAAATGTGAGGAAATCCATTGATTAAAATCAACTTTCCGTTGAGTCAATCAATTTAATCCAAATTTTAACACAATGTAAATCATAACGTTAGGGACATTATACAATCAAATAAATATGAAAAACTGAATTTTTGAATTATTTTTTTTGTGAAACTTTGAACTGTTGGCTGTAGGAAATTAATCCATTGCCTCTAACAAACAGATTAGCATCAGTGTTAGCGAAACTCATATTAAAGAAATTGAATAATTGGGGATTAAAGTTGTACTTATCATATTGCTCTGACATACATGTACCGTATGCCAATATGTTATTTACATGTACATCAGTTTGTTCTACCATGCACCAATTTGCTCAAAGCATAATCATCGCTTTGTCAGATTAAACATTAAGAATAAATGTAAAATGTCCCCGCTTCTTTATTTTCATTATCAAACAACTAAACATGGAAATGGAAAACAAAGAAAGGTTAATAAAACCAGCTTTAATTAAAAGAAATGGTCCAATTATAGTAGAAACAAAGGTATTCCATCATGGACTAATCCGTTGTTTATATCCCTGGTTTACATGTATATCTCAGATATTATATGGATAACAAAAAACACATGAATTGTGAAATGTGAGAGAATACAAGTTTTAATTTTGTTTTAGCATGGACCACTTGTATCAGTTAATCTAATGCACGTTTCCTAATTCATTATCAGTGATTTGCCAGAAGAAATTGGAGCAATACATCCAATATATTACAGGCTCGTAATAAGTTTTAGCCCAGGGGATCAATTTTCAAAACAAACCAAGGGGTCCTAATTGATAATTTTGCCCCAAAAATACTTAACAGTGCTCAGATTGGTAAAAATGTAGGATTTTGAAAGAATTTTGGCAAGGGGGAAGGGGATTTACTTGAACCCAACGACCCCCCCCCCCCTTCCCTGGCCATGGACCAATACCAAATTCATAATGTATTGATATTGTTCATTGTTTAGTGTATTGATATTGTACATTGTTTCGTGTCATAAATGTTTTGTGTTGTTTGTGAAGTGATTAAAGGTGTTTGTGTAAGAGGGGGCTTTAAGTGTTGTTTGTTGTAAACTTAATTTGACAGAAAAACAATTGAGTTAAATTGTGAGGAAACCCAATGGGGTAAAAATGTGAGGAAACCCATTGATTAAAAATTAACTTTCTGTTAAATGGATGAATTAAATCCAAATTTTAACACAATGTTAATCATAACATAAGGGACATTATACAATCAAATAAATATGAAAAACTAAATTTGCAATTTATTTTTCAGTTGAAATTAGAACCAACTGCTGTAGAAATTAATCTCTTAACTCTAACAAACAGATTATTTATCAGTGTGAACAAAACTCAAATCATGGAAATTGAATAATTAGAGATTAAAGTTTGTTGCTCTGGAATGTCAATACATGTATGTGAATGGTGAAAAACTACATGATTTTGACAGTATTGTTGGCTACGGGGAGGGGGGGGGGGGTCCTTGGCTAAGGGTCTGTATAAAATGCGCAATGTGTTTATTGAATATTGAGCAGTTCCGTGTCATGACTGTTTTTCCGGTTGGCAAAGTGAATACAGGTGGTTGTTTGTACCTGTGTAAGAAGGGATCGATTTAAATGTTGTTTGCTATAAACTTAATGTGACAGAGAAACAATGGAATAAAAATGTGAGGAAAATCAATCAATTAAGAATTCAAAAATTAACTTTACAATGAATTAATTGATTGAATCAAAAATTTAACACAATGTTAGTCATAACATTAGAGACATTATGTAATCAAATCTGTATGTAAAAACTTATTTTGCAAATTTTTTTTGTGGAATTAAGAGCCACCAGCTGTAGAGATTAATCCATTAACCCTAACTAATGGATTAATTATCAGTATGAATGAAACTCATTTCATAGGAATTGAATAATTAGGGATTAACGGCTTGAAAATAACAGCATATAATCGGTTTTTGATTGCAAATGCCAACATATTATTTTCTCCTGACAGGAATATTATTCTATATTATATGGTATTATATGTTGTTCTCTGTAAATAATACACAAATAATATTATCAAATCAAAAATAATTCTTAAAAATACGTATTATATTTTTTTCCGCTATAATAAAAGAAATAACTGCCTATTATACAGGAAAAAATATTCTCTACGATTCTCTCTTAATGCAACTTATTTAGCAGTATATTAAACATTTTATTCTATATTATTTTAACTATTTTACCAAGTGATAAACTTCTGGAATTTTCCATTGATCGTTATATAGCTGGTTTTCTATATAATCGTGTCGTAAGATATTTGCAACTTAAACATATATGTCATATATCATTTTCTTCAGAAAGCATTATATTGTGCATCGAAATCAAAATTGCCAGCATAGAATTCAAAATACATGATATGACTTAAAATGAATCCCGTTGCCACTAACGTGCAAATCTCCCGTTCTAAACACAGCTCAAGCTGATCGCGTACTTGAAGTAAACTAATTGGAGCTTGTTTTTTATGCGTGCTCTATATCCATTCCATTGACCGCTACACTGCATTTCCAACTGATGAAATTGAAGAGAAAAGAAAGAAAATCAAGCGTATCGTATATTGCAATAAGCAAACAACAAGGCCGGAAATATTTTGAAGGAATATTGATGCAAAATTTGAGGTGAGAAAGTTGATCTGTTTCTCCGGTCCCAAGCCAAGGAAATAGACGTAATTTAGGGGAGTTTTAGTATTTAATAAGTTTTATCTAGCTGTTTTAATCTATTATCTATCTATTTTAAGAAGTTTTTATCTAGCTCCATCAATCATTAGTATCGTTTTTAGAAAACCTTTGCAGTTAAGTTCATTATCCTATATGTGCTAATCATAGAGTTATGATGACCTATGGCAACAACTCATTGATCATGAGACACTCTACATGTTGTTTTCCGGTCACATGTGTAGACGTGTCGCAAAAAGGTCGCGCACGCATTGTTACACATTTTCGCTGTTTAACACCACAGAATGTGACGTTTTTTTTGAGAAAAATGTACACATATGGAAATCCTTTCGTCCTCCACATTTGCCTCTATATCTCAAAATATTTAAGGCGAATAACTCTGATATTGTACATGTACTAACAATGGGATAGGAGCATCATAAAACACGAATCAATTGATATTTTAGGTGAAATAAATATACGTGTTGCTGTGCTTGAAAATAGGCAAATGGCGTAAATTAGCCCTATTTTAATGAATTTTGAAAAGCTTTCGTCCTCCACTTTTCCAAATACAACAGAAAACACATACTTTGCGATCAAAATCAACTATTTATTAATAAACTAGAGTTTAAGATCAAAATAATCATGTATGATTCATTAAAAATTGATCTCGTATTTTTTTATAATGTACACCTGAAAAGTTGAATGTAACAAAAAATGAGCAAAAAAGGTCGCTGTCAACAGATTCTATTTTTCAAACTCTATGACGTCACAATATGGGACGCTTACTAAAATTCATCGTTTGAAATAAAACTTCCATCTACCTTTATCAAGACGAAAAATAAGTATTATAGTCATATATTATTTGAGTTATGAGCGTTTAAAGACGAAAAATAATTTAAAATGTATCGTGTCAACAGGGGATATTTGCCAGATGTTTAGGTAAAAAACTCTTTTTTACAAAAGAACGCGCACGAATCGTGAACGGAGTGTAGTTGATTTAAAAACTTCATCGAAACAGCTTTAAAATGATATATAACTTTATTAGAATATTATCTTATAATCCGGGGAATCAAAGTTACATTCACGCGATACCCTAAACAACAAATGCGCCACCTTTTTGCGACACGTCGTACAAATGCAACGATTTATGCAGTATTTCGTTCTTTAGACACAGACTGGTATCAAAAGATTTGTCCGCTGTGACGGAGCATGCTATTTTTCATAAAAAACACTAAGAATACTTCACGATTTATTTTCTAACTCATATGTTTCGTTATACCAAGGGAAATAACCTACTCCATGCAATAGATATATCAATTGCGGGTAACCTTCACATCTGTTCGAAGTCAAATAACGCCATTTCTAGGAGTAAAAGCTATTGAAAATGGTGCAAAAGTATCAAACTCTAAAATATGCAATTTCTTTTTTTTACTTTTTTATGGCATGATATACTGACACGATAATATTAACCTAATATGTTATAAGCATAACCCTGAATGTATTAATTAGATATTGATGTATTGGGTATTCTTATTATTTTATAAAAAATAATGTTTACATTTTTGTCCGCTGTGATAGGGCAGTTTCACAGTTCACATTGCAACTGCTCCGTCGCAGCGGACAAAAATTTAAACATTATGTTTTTAAAAGAATTAAAAAGACCCAATACATCAACATCTCCTTAATATCTTCATAGTTATGCTGAAAACACATGTTAAAGTAACTTTCCATGATTTCATCTAAAAATTAAAACCCTTGGAAATACTAAATATGGTTTGAGTGCCATATTTAAAATTTATTTTAGAAATATTGTGGATCAAAATAAAAAAATAAAAACAAATTTCACCTGTGGGATTTGAACCCAGAACACCAAATAGCCAGAGCTTCCTAACTGAAGAAATTCTTTATCTATATAATCATGGATGAAAAAAGTCTTATTTATATGCTTAAATTTCTTAGAAATGATGAGCATTACTACTTATAATAACAGTTTGCATGTCTGAGTAAGTATTTTGATCTACATTTAGGATAAATGTGTTTTATTCAGTTTTCATTTTGGGTATGACTTCCTGTCAAAACAGTGTTAAAAATGCAGGGCTCAACAAAAATTTTCAATTAGAAAATGATATATACAGGGTGTTCCAAAAGTAACAGGACTGGTGCTGGCATTTTGTCAATTTTGCACTGAGTGTCTTCATATTTTCACAAATTGTACTTTGAAGTATTGCAACTAAAATTGTAAAGTTTCAGAAAACATGATGAAATGCAGTTAGAGTTATGGTTACTATAGTAACATGACATCCCAATACCCGGGGCAACTTTTTTCATGAAAATATGATATCTAACATTTTAATATAACTGAAGAAAGTATCTAATTCACCTAATATAATACAACATTTCTTGTTTATTTTATTAGTTCCTTTGTTGTAAAGATGTTGCTATACAACTCAGATTCAAGTATAATTTCATATGATAATAATATTTATTTAATTTCCTGGAATATCACTATGTATAACAGTCTGAACAATTCCCGGTTGAGTTTTTGAAAATACCCAATTTGAAGCCAGTCATCTACCTTGATAACGCGCCTGCCCGCAGGTCACCATTAAAGACCATGCAGCTATAGAGGAGCTAGGTCTTGAGGTCTAAAACCATGTACCATACTCTTCTGATCATGCAATGTCTAATTTTTACTTATATTGAGAACGGAATGCTAATCAGTGCTGTAAGACCTTTAAAGATAAGAATGACCTTCTCCAAATTGTCCTGTCGACCCTGCGTGCCATGTCCTCAAATGGGTTCACTCATGTGTTTGGGTCATGGATAAAGAGAACTACTCTTGTACTGACCAAAGAGGAGCCTATTTTTCGAAGTAGAGGATACATAGGAATATCAAATGATGTAAAACAAATGTAATTCCCACCTGTTGTTGCATTTTAACTTTGATATGGCATGTAGAAAATGATATGGGATGTACAAAATGCTTAATGTCTCTGTAACTTTTTTCGTGGAATGTTGCCCCGGGTATTGCGATGTCATGTTACTATAGCAACAATAACTCTACCCGAGTTTCATATATTTTGTTGAAACTTTCCAGTCTTAGTGACCGTACATGAAAGTACATTATGTAAAATTTTGAAGACGATTGGTGCATATTTATTTAAATGCCAGCACCAGTCCTGTTACTTTTGGAACACCCTGTATCCTTTGATCAGGTGTTTTTGGCACCTGAACTCATCCTACTAGAAAGGTAAGAGCATTTTCTTGAGACATATGGCTCGAAATCTCATATTTCTCCTTCTAAGTCTTAGAAAGACACTTTAATATTATCATGTCACTATATCGTGCCATTAAAAAGTTAAAGAGAGAATCAGATATAGCGAGAAGGCCTAACAAAAAATTATTTCAATGTTAGAATATTTCTGGCTAATGTCATTCCTTGTCATGTCTATTTTCTGAAATTCCCCAAAGTGCACACTTTATTTCAGGTAAACTTAAGATTTTTACAATAATGTGTTATTTTTCTATAAGAATGGTAACCATTCTTATTATTTGGGAGAATTTAAACATTTTTCACCTATTTTTTGCACTTTGAATCCATGATAACTTTACAAATTTATAATATATCGTGAATCTTTTTGGAGATATTGTAATTGAGATTGTAAAGAATAGATTGGTAGGTCAATCGTACATGTGACTTGTAATTTTGTCACCCCTATATATCTGATTCTGCCTTTAAACAAGAAATGGTACATTTTCAATAGTTTTCCTCCCAGCGTCATTGGACTTCAAACAGAAGTGAATGTTACCCGCAAATGGTATATGCATTACATGGAGTAAGTAATTCTCTTTGGTAAAACGAGACATACTGTATGAGTTAAAAATAAATTGTGTGGTTTGCTTTGTATTTTATGAAAAATAACATGCCCCGTCACAGCGGACACATCGTTCGATACCAGGCTGTGTTAGAGGTGTTTATTTTTCTATATCTGGGTATAGTCTTGATTAAATGGATCTTAGATAGCCAACATTGAACTACGATTTGTTATCAGTTTCCAATAATCAAGCGAAGATCTTATAACATTGGCAAATGTGTACACTATTAATGACATAATTTATACAATAAAAATGTGGAGAACAAAGAATCCTATCAATACATATTGAGTTTTAAGTTACACAATAAAATTGATAATTACTTTGAAATAGAAAGTATGTATAGTATTTGATTATGTCTCCAGAATCAATCAAAAGGATCCATTCCATAGTACATAAGAGCTCCCTGGTGTTTAACAGGTTGTCAAAAACAAGTCCATTATTGAGACTCACTGCCGCAAATGAAACTTCGTGTACTTTATGAAAATCTAGACGTTAATATATTTAAGAAAGGCATTTAAAATCAGCTGCTCACTTACGAATGGATCATTCATCGTGTTTAAAGAGTTGGCCATATACACATCATATTCTATACATAAGGATTTTCATATGTGTCACGTTATGCAGTATAGTCTGCATGGGTAAGATATTCATGTTATAATTTTAAATCGTTAAACGTGTTTTTTGTTTAAAAACTGATCAAATTTTGGTTAAGCATTTTTAAATTTAAAAAATAAATTTCCGATTAAAAGCAATGTTAAATCAAAGGATTTTCTGAAATAGCACAAAGTTCGTACTTTCTAATTTTCACATATTTTGTTATTACCATTTTTAAGAAAACCAAATAGTGATATGTATTGAAATACGTGAAAATTATTCAATCTCCCAAGAAGAGAGTCTTCCAATTTTCGAAAAGTTAACATCACTTTTAGGTTTCCCCTCAGACGATATAAACAAGTTTTGTGTTTCAGAAACGTATGGCCCCTATACAGTAAGCCCTTTCAACTTTCCTGATTTGTACCTCAATTTACACGTAGAACAATCGCATGGATCACTAGTGGTAAAGAACACCACACAGTCTGTTATCTACTTCCATTCTCCTTGCATTGGACGCACCAACGCAGGTTCACGTGTTACCATTCAGATCACGGACGCGCTTGATCATACAACGATGTACATTGATCATTCAAATACCACAATTGATATAGTCCATGTGAATTATTTTGAGGACTTGAACTTGGCAGGAGCTGCACTGAAAATTGTATTGCAGAATGGACACGTGGAGTTGAGTTCTAATTATAATTTGGATAATGGCTTTGCAGATTTTATAGTATATAATGAGTCACATGATGCCTTGACCTACTACCATAAAATACCATATGCTAGTCTAAGTCACGTGCGAACCATGATGCAATTCCAATTTCAAACAACAGGTAGGATCATTTTCGAATTCTACACTAGTTCTTCACATGTACAATATCAAGCAACCTCTTCTAAGAGTGACACATTGACAATTTAAATTCGCACTTATCTGGTTCCAAGACTTGTCCTGCGATCGTTTTATAGATGTCTGTACGTTATATTTCAAAAGACGAAAATTGACGGCGCAATCTATACGTATATTTCTAACCTCAATTGACTAGAAACACCACAAGAAACGATTTCCCAAAGGCTTTAACACCACAAGAAACGATTTCCCAAAGGCAAAAATTCGAGGCTGTCTCAAATTGCGGTAATATATATTTCAATCATTATTTAAATCGACCAGTGTTTCAAAAGGTTCTCCGTGAACACAGAGATTACATTGACGTCACTTACGGACTGTTTCGATTTACATACGCGTAGTAATATATTAGTGAAATATTGATTGTTACATTCAGCTTTGACAATCAACGATCACCTGCAGGAATGTCCTTGCATTTTACAACAACACCGGAACAGTAAATTTTTAATTAATGCGGTCATAATCACGATTTATCAATGTCGCTTGACTTCATTCCGTATCAACTGAGCGGAATGATTTCCCGAGCTTGAGGGATAATGTCCCGGGAATGAGATGATGAAAGTACGCTACGCACTGGATGAAATGTCCACGGCCCCTGATGGCAGGCATTTTTAAATGCTGGTCGATATAAAGATTAAAGTGCCTATTTCTCCAATTTGAGACAGACTACTTTTTCGACTTTAAAAGAGAAAGTTGAGACTGTACAGTCGAAATGTTGAGGCATGCGCAGACCTTTATTTAGTGATATTTTCATTTCAAATATGGCGGCCAATCCGATGTCTGACGACCCTTACAAAGAATCTAGGCAGTTTGCATTTTTACCTCCTGTGAAATAACAAGTGGAATTTAGTAGTTGTTTTGTGTTTTATTATCATTCTGCATCGTAATTCTATGTGATGTGGTGTTGAAATGTCAGCAGAAATACATATCAATACGATAATCGAGTGAATCAGATAACAGATTTTTCGAAAACCCGTCTCGTGCTAAGAGTGTAAAAACTTGTATTAACATGCTCAAAAGTGCCAATGTGCACATCAATGTCAAGCTAAATCAATGTTGTGTCTAAAACAGGTACCCGATCTACTCAAAACAGCTTGTCATTCACGTATACACGCTTAGCAAACACGGCGAAATGACCTGAATCTTGGGATTTCGTTCAAGAGCTAGTAATGTTTGCTCCGGTCTTCGTCATAAGTGTTCATCAGACTTCACGCATGCGCAGGAGAAAAACCATCAACCAATAAGGTTTATAAATCAATTTTGCGCATGCGCCTTACAACGGTAAACAAATTCGTATTTATAAACGAACCAGTTTGAGATAACCCGATATCAGTCGGAGAAATCTGACGATCTACGAAACTCACTTCAAAAAATCAAATGCGGACTGACGGCGTATTCTACTATGTTTGGATCTAAGATTTTCAGTATAGATAAAGTATTTTATGATCTTTCGAATGAGGTAAGTCTCTAGTTCGAAAGACAATCGTATCAACTTGAACAAAAGTTGAGTTTTGACGAAAAATTTTAACATGCGCAGAAGTCCCATTTTCGTTGTACCATATTGACTGTGTATGGTGCTTAGAACCTACCGAGGTAAGGAATTTGGGCTTGGCAAGCGCCGATAGAGTTTTAAAATATGACGTTAGCACATGTGCCCAAAAGACAAGAACGTAAGGACAGTACGGAACGAGATAAATTCGCACAATTTTGAAACCCCTGGAGTATTATAAGATTACAAATAACAATGTAAATTCCTTACAGAGAAACCAAAACAATCTAGCTAATAAAAACTTCTAAGTATTTGTCATTTATAGGTGACGCCAATACGGTAATGAAATGCCCTCCCCTTACGACTTTGATTGATGGACTTTGCTATGGGTATATGTTTCAATGCAAAACATATGATGAAGCATTTGAGCATTGTGACAATCACGATGCAACCTTCCCTCTTCTAAATCAACACACATTAGAACAATTGGCTGCGTCTGAAAGGTAAAACAACTCGTTTCAATAAACTGTATCAAAACTAGTGTAAAGTCAGATGATGAATGTCAGTGGTACTTGCAACAGTGCGAGTCATAGTGTAGCTAAGAAAATTTACATTAGAATTGATACAACGGTAGAGGTTATTTTCAAACCAGGGTAACCAGAGCAACAATGGTCTACATAAGAGACGTTATTTTTACAAAACTAATGTCATTGCTGGCTTTTAAGATTCGTTTATCATACGTTATATGAAAAAATAATCGACCAAGAATTAAAATCGAATGGAGGAGGATGAAGGGGGAGTAATATGTCTTTAAGATGGAACGGATTTACATTTGAAAAATGAACTCAGTAAGAAACCGGATGTTACATCTCTGAAGAGTGAAAACGGGGAAGTTTGGGGTTTTACTAAATAAAGTCAAGTAACATCTCTAATAGGCGCTTTATTCCCCCTCCAATCTTTCCCCCTCCATCAAGATTTAATTATTTTAATTATCTTATATTCATATAGTAACGTATTTTACAAAACAAGTAATGACATTGATTTTGTGATAATAACGACACTCACGAGTATTTGCTTTGACCTCAATTGCTTGATTTATAGCAAAAGCATTGACGTTTGTTCGATGGTGATGTTGCACCTTTTTTTAATATATCTCATATCTTAGAAGTCTATCAATTCCAAAATTCATAAAAGACCTAACATAGTTCACCATACCATGTGCAGATTCATATAGCAATTCAAAAGTAAATGCTCTCTTGAAAAAACGAATCTTCCAGATTTGTTAATTTTCTAGCAGATATCGCCTGCTCCCCCCTCATCCATGTTAATAAAACAATGTGCTTAATTTTCAGAATTGGTAATTGGCAGATAAAAGATGGCACTCACATCTGGTCAGGTGTGCTCAGAACGAACTCAACTTTTAAAATAGCTAACGGAAGTGCAGTATCAGAAAGCGATCTGATAGATTATATGAATACATCCCAACCGTTACCTATTGTAAACGGATCTTGCTACACGATACAAGTTGGTAATGCTTATACACTAACACCTAGAGATTGCGATGGGAAATATTTCTACGTGTGTAGAATTGGGCAAGGTAACTAGGGCCCTACTTATACAGAAATAATGACTGTATATCCCCTGATATTTTCTCGGAAGTAGTTCATAAATGGAATTTGACAGGATGGGATCGTGTATTTAAAGGTTGTTGACTATTTATAAGATTATGCATTTGGTAGGCCCGATGGCTTACTGTTCAGGCCTTTTTATAAATTGCTCCTAGAATTTTAAATTATACAGTATACATGAAAATAAATTGGATCCATTGGATGTGCCGTGGACTTCTTTGGAGATTATTTTTGAAATTATTTCTACTATTTAGGTTTCTATGATGACATCTCGAGTTTGAGTTTGACGAATTGGGGTGCCACTATCATGGGGAGGTGTGGGGAGCCACCTGTTCCAGCAACAGAAGAAGTAATGACATCAACAACAACAATATACGCACAAACAACAACAAATTCAACAATTAAAGCAGAGACAATAGCACTGTCAACAACGGAAGCAGAGGCAACAACACAGTCAACAGCGGAATCAGAAACAATAGCACAATCAACAACGGGCGCAGAGGCAACAACACAGTCAACAACTGAAACAGAAACAATAGCACAATCAACAATGGAAGCAGAGGCAACAACAGCAACAACATCAAGATTAAATTTAATAACATCAAATCCAACGACAAATACAGAAGAACAATCTACAATAACAACTGAACTGAGTCATGAGTTTTTAACAACTAATCGTTTATCAGCCGAAACTAGTAAATTTGCAATGTCCACAATTAATGTTTACGCAGTCACACTTTTTCAAAGCTCAACTGATTTGACAACAAAATACGATACAAACATTCAAAAAACATTAGACGTTTATGTCAGAGCAAAAAGAATTGAATACACACCATCCGAATCCCCTCACGCTTTGATAATAGGAATACCACCATTGAGCATCGTGTTTATAATGTTAGGATTAGTAATCATATCTGATGTTGGCAAAATATTCACCGACATCAAAAAAGGAATGAGAAACATCATTCGCTTCGTAAAATGAATCTTTGTAGACACATCATTCTCTATTCCACGGCATCGAGTTAAAACAAATAATCCTCAGCTCGTAATTATCAAGGATATTCTCGATCGCATGGTTGATATTGGCGCAAATGTGTACATTGCATGCTCTCTAATAACTGTTTTCGGATATATGATACCATTCTGAATGATATAACAAATACTAACGCTGTCATAAATGGTAAAACTACACATGATCAATGAACATTTCAAGTAACACGACCCCCTCAAACAACTGGTAATATAATACTTATAGCCAAAGCCACTTATCTAATTTCTAAGAAACGATTTCAGTTAACGACGGGTATAAGCGACTCCTGTGGTTAAATTGTACATATAAAATGTAATACATTGTTGTTATTTTTACAGCTAAATTACGAAAAAAGTCAGTATACATTTCAGCCTTCTCCTTCATGCCAATAACCTCCATAAAGATATCGAATCGTTGACAATAATTTTTCATTGAAATTCAATAATCAGTTTCAGTGTCTAAGTGAGTATAGATAAATGAATATCTAAGCACAATAACCAAATGGAAAGAACTTAAATCTGACTGTAAAGAAACCTGGCAAGAAAAGCAAACATTTATTGTAAACCTTTCAAAAATAGACCCTATATCCCTAATACAGGCAACGTATTTTTAATAACAACGGGTAGGGGGCGGATGACTAAAGTTGAAGAGGTACAGTTGAAAATAAAGGTTCAACGTAGGTAAAAAATAACAAAAGGAGGGAGACTTTTTAGTGTATTTTTTACTTTTTCAATAAAAAAACATCATATAGTATTTTGTAGGCCAGAACGGGGAATCAATGTGATAAATATATGTAGGATCTACATTTTTACAAAAAACAATGGATAATTTCCTTTCCTAGATTTTGAGGTAATTTGGTCGGAATTTTGAGAAATGAAATATCAACATATAGGAGGAGACAAAACACAGTCTAAGACCTAGAATGCTAGGCCGTGTGTCGAAAATAAGCATATTTTAGCCAAAAGTTGAGGCACTGACCAATTTCAATGATTTATTTTGCTTCTAATTATATATGTCAAATGGTTCTATATTTTAAGCATATAAAAATGTTACACATAATCGCAATTTTTGTTCTATATTTACTGATTTGAGTAAAAAATTGTAAAATAAATAAAGCCACATTACTGTAGGTGACTCTCTGTTTTCTAAAAACAGAGAGTATACAAAAATTAGCAATTGCATTGCAATTTACTCTTAGAAACTTGTTTGCTACATAAATAAAATTATCCTGAAATATTTTACTGAATAATATTCGCTATTCTGTAAATTGCATTCATAATTAGATAAGAAAATGACTGAAAATAGCTGCGGAATGAAAAAATCTTGAGGAATTGGAGACAAATATAAATTGTTTCTAAAAAACAGAAAATATATGGTAATACTGTTTTGTATAAATATAAAAGACATACATGCTCGGAACCTCCCATAACGTTTTCATGGATATATGACCACCAGTTTTTGAAAAAAAAGTAGTCAAATGATTCAAAATGCGAGCCGCGGATATTTGTGTGCCGCATTATGGTATTGAAAACATTGTATCTCAATAAAAGTTCGATTACCTTGTTATATGTCTTGTTTGAAAGTGTATTGACTAGACTATATGATCTATATTCAAAAGAAGGTAAATTGGACCATATTTGTTATTCTATGAAAACACAGAGATGGTGGGATATTCAATCAATTTCTGAAATAAAGACTAAAGTTCCCTCCATCTTAACTTAGCCCCGATCACCTCGATTTTTGCACCAAATGTGGTCCTTTATCTGTAGCTATAGCTACTTATTACAAAACAAATTCATGGCAGAAAAGTACCTGGGAAAAATCCGGAGACCTCGCTCTCTGTCTACATGAGGACTAATGATACCTTGGTCAAAATATGGTACTTTATATGGAAAATGTGCAATTGAACAGTCAACTGAATTCGGTAGTGGGAAAGTCTTCTCCTCTGACACGTCAAGTGTTTTCGATTGACAGTATTTAGTGAGTTATCATTCACTCGCAGCATTATCATCTACCATTTGTTGATGACGCCAAACAACTATAATATTGAATCGTGACCGATGCACACGTGTTTTAGACACAATCTTGAATAAACAAGGTCCTCTGATCGATTATCTAAAATTAGAGTATGACATCAAGCAGGAGAAATGCCAAGGATATCATCGATGTAATTTGCTTGGCTATAGTGTCTCGACATGGAAGGCAAAAAAGACAATGCACACGTGTTTTAGACACAATCTTGAATAAAGCAGTTCAAGGTCCTCTGATCGATTATCTAAAATTGTATTTTTGCATTCGATTATCGAGTGACATCAAGCAGGAGAAATGCCAAGGATAGCATCCATGTAATTTGCTTTGGCTATAGTGTCTCGACATGGAAAGCAAAAAAATACAGTGATCAATTTGTAATATGACTAAAAAACTTTCCACACATAATAGTAAACATTCGTTAACATTTGAACCCAATACGAAAACGGTTGACCATTCTTTATGAAAGCCCCATATCTTCTGCTTGAGGTACAATATGTGTATTGATTTGACCATTTGATAAATATTTCTTAAGACGGCTACTTAATTACACCCGAAATATTGGTTAAGATTCAACAAATACCCACACAATTGCTTAACATATCGCCTTATATAATGAGCGAAATAATATGTTCACACTTAACACAGAATTTTCCCATTTGGGTTCTCAAACCTAAAGTTTATCTGAGGTCAAAGGTCATCTGTATAGAATCAATGTTATTCACAGGCAGAATAGGGGTGAAAAAATTGCAAGCAACGTGTACAATTGACCTACCGATCCTTATGGTCTCAAATACAGTATCTCTCAAAAGATGTGTGTTATGTTCAACATTTGTGAAGTTATTAAAGATTCAAAGTGCAAAAATGGAGGGAAATGTTTACATTCTTCCAAATAATAAAATTTCTTACCATAACAATAGAAAAATAAGTTAAACAATTAATAATGTAAAAAATCGTTAAGTTTTCCTGGAATAAAGTATGCACATTTTGGGATTTTTAGAAAATAGACATAGAGAATGATATTAGCCCAAAAAATGTTAAAATTAAAACAGTTTTCGTTTTCGCTTGCTCGCTAGATCTGATTCTCCCTTTAATACTAACTCATGTAAAAAAGGCTCTAATTTAGATCTTCAGACACTCAACGCTCTGCGCTTTAAAAAAGTGCCAACGGTTTTATGTCACCACGTGTGTCTGTTATCTCTGTTTACCTGTATTATTCAAAAACCATTAGGGAAATGTTGATGTTTTTTGGAATCCCTTGGGTTTTCTTAAATGACTGATCGAAATTATTGAAATGGCATTTACACGACGTGTATTATACAAATTCCACGTGTTTTACATAAATCTACCATTATCTTAAATGTATATTAGAGTGAAATGCATAGCATTAAGCATATACTATACTAACTCATGTAAAAAAGGCTCTAATTTAGATCTTCAGACACTCAACGCTCTGCGCTTTAAAAAAGTGCCAACGATTTTATGTCACCACGTGTGTCTGTTATCTCTGTTTACCTTTATTATTCAAAAACCATTTGGGAAATGTTGATGTTTTTGGAATCCCTTGGGTTTTCTTAAATGACTGATCGAAATTATTGAAATGGCATTTACACGACGTGTACGTATTATACAAATTCCACGTGTTTTACATAAATCTACCATTATATTAAATGTATATTAAAATGAAATGCATCGCATTAAGCTTATACATATTTTTCGCCATTGGGGTTTATTTCAAAGAGAGGTTGAGAATTTAAGTAGAGACAAACGTATTATTTTAAAAGTAAAATATATACACTCCCCTCCATAAGTTTGGCAACCTTAGCTCCCCCATTGAACTACGTGTTAAAGCCTCTTTACGTTTGAATTTTTATTTACTTAACCGGCGATGAAATAACTTTTAATATTGATGGAAACGTAATTTGAATTTATTTCCAATACCTCGAAATTTTCTCAATTTTTTTCCTACAATAAGTCGAAAATTGATGATAAAATTGATGAATTTTTGAAAATCGACATTCCCATGTTAACCAATGGGAAATGGTAGGTTTGCCGCAAGTCATATTACAGAATATCCATCAATCCGAGTCCTTGCAAAAAACACTTACTGTACAAAAAGGTTATAGACAATTCAATTTTCTATATAAAAATATTTTTGCTGAATCTTTTACTGAAAAGATATCCTGATTTCCGATTTGCCCCGAACCCAACCATTTTCCATTGGATTACATGGAATGACGATTTTCAAAAATTCATGAATGTTTTGCACTGTATGGTGGGATACTTGATGATTAAAGAATGTCAACTTTTATTTGAAAAGGGGCGGGAACTTTTAATATTTTAGAAATAAAAACCTGGCAACTTTTTATTCATTTGTTTCAAAAATCTCTAAGTTGTGACAAATAGTAAATGGATGATAAGAACATAATTTCAAACTTAATATTGGAACTTTAAGTATAAGTATATTGATGCCTAATGCCCTGTATATATTGCTTTAATTATTGAACATTTGACGAACGGTGAAACGTGTATAGGAAGGAGTTAAGTCTCAGGGCAGTTTCATCTTTACAAATTCCCATTAGTGAAATATAAACAGCCTTTTAGTCGGAGTTAGAGTTATTCATCGCCAATGTGCGTTTCCAATTACATATCATTAATCGACTAATATTAATTCAAATTGCATAATTACAATGGTAGTATTTGGTTGTCGTTAATGAACTGATGGACAACTAATGCATTAATATAGGAATAAATCGTATAATCTTGAGTGCTCTTTAAGTAAACCCGTGCATTGATTTGAGAAAAGTCCATATCAAATCATCCTGTATCTAACCATGGAGGAAATGAAGACGGCATTTATTTTAATGTTAATGATTTTGATTTTGATTTCAGATAAAAAACTACAAAACGTGAATGCAGGTAATTTATATTTACATTGAAGTAGTAGTTATTACTAGGCAAATGTAACAAATAATGATCTCTATTAACATCTGAGAATTTGACGTGAATATTAAATGAAAACACTTTGCATAAATATATATAGTATGATGCTTTCGCGATAACCGCGCCAGCACATTTGACGTAGTCTTTCCAAACCAAATATTGCAACCAAAAAATGTAGTTGTGTGATAATTTTAATTTGTTGATTACATTTCAGACCGTTATGGACCATTTTTCTTTCGACCAAAACTGCATGCTGATAAATTTGTTTCCCTGGCATATTCCCACAAGGAAGAGCAAGGTTACCTTGAAGTCTCCAACCGCAATGACACGGTCTTCTTCATCGTTTATCCTGCCCTACTGAACCCCAACTTTGCAAATGCAAATGTAGAAGTTGTAAAATATCTAAACGATTCGACAGGAATGATAGGCAATATCACGACGTATATAGCATATGTGGCAGGCGATGACAATTCTGTGATAACAAAGACAAATGGATTCTCAAAATTGAGGGTAGGAAGGTCAAGCAGTGCAGATGATGTGTATTTTAAAAGATGGGTCAACCAAAATGTCTCGCAATATGTACACTACAATATGACAGCGAATACTAATCTCACGTATTATACTGTAAATCTAACTGCAGATGGTGAACCGAAAACTCCGCCTTGGCAATTAGCGAAATTCATTACAGAATTCGCAGGTATGAAAACGTTTCTTTATAAATATGCCCGCATTTTAACAGAAAATGAAGGATATGAAATGTGATGGTTGGAAACAGGCTTATCAGACCAGAATCCTAAATTCATTTTCTAAAAATATCAATCCACCTTTCTATTCAAAGAAGAGAGGATATCGAATGTAATGATTGGAAACAATCTCCACTCTACTATACCTTGCATTTGGTGTTCATGAGCAACTCATTTGGCTTATTAGTAATGATTATGTATTTGTTTTTATTTGTCTGTTCCTTATGAATGGTTTATCGGTTGAAAGTTAGATGCTAGTAAGGCACTTTCAAAAATATATTAAACAATTCAATTAGACAAACAAAGTATCTTATGCATTTCTAGGTGTTAGGTATAGTAGTGTGTCTCATCACAAAGCTTTCCGACATTTTACCCCTACAATCCTTATTCGTCCATTTTCTAACAGAATTGAGATACCTAATTAATATTGGAGATATAAAGTGCAAAAATTACTATTGATAAAACGAACTTCTCAACTTTCAAAGATTTAGTTAATATCTTATAACCTCTCAAATTAAACTTTAAATCTGACCCCGGCCTTCATTTAATATAAAATATTATTTTTTGTAAGGAAGCAACAGCCTGTGCTTCCACATAAAAGACATGAGCTTCGTTATTGTAAAATTCTTTATCATTTTTGTGTTTCAGATGAAACAATTGCAACGTACCAAACATGTCCGCTAGATATGGAAAATATAGCAAATACATGCAACTTATTTATGAGGGATTATTGTCTTAATGTCACAGAGGCAGCAAAAGCATGTATGGGTTTAGGATACCCGGGAGCTGAGATGGCTTTTATGGACTCTGACACGCAGTCAAAGATCATGAACAAGTATGACGATAAGGCCCATAGCCAGGATTTTCCAAGGGGGGTCACTTTTTGAAAAATTCCAGGGGGGTTGGGGGTTCACTTGTGACAATTTTGGTCCAAAAATTGCAAAAATCAAAATTTGAAAATTTTTTGGGACAAGTGGGGAGTTACCCATCGACCCCCCCCCCCCCCCCCCCCCTGGCTACGGGTCTGACGATTCAAGCATTGTATCTCCTGCTGTAGCTCAAAATCTAACCAAACCGTCGTTTGATTTACTGAGCAAACAATTCTTCATAGTGAACCAATGTTGATTTATGTTAAATATAAATGCTTGCAGTGTATGTCATCTTTAAAATTAGCATTTTATGTTTTTAATTTTCTTTTTGTTTTTATTATTACAGCAAAAATCTCCCATTCAATGGCCGTTACAGTTATTGGAATGTTCAGCTCAATAGAAGCTCTGTGTTCAACAACTATTCTCATGCGGAAGACGAATGTTTAGTCATTAAAGATGGGTCCCCTGTGTTTAAAAGGTGCTCGGAGCGAACACGTTTCTACTGCAAAATTGACAAAGGTAAACATTTTGCGCAAACGTACTTGCTTTTTAAAAAGAAGATTTTGCAGGTTTTGCGTGACGCTCCAAGAAGGGAAATCAAAATATAAGTTGCATAACAATGGGTTTCCTTTTCAGGTCCTTATATGGACATATCGAAATGGTCAGTTTTGGATCACTTTCCATTTTACTGGAATAACGATTACGATGAAGATTGCAATCTCCTCTCTGGGCTGCTCGAAGCTACACCCGAATCTACAGAATATAACATCGCAGCTTCAATGAATGAATTATCTACAGATTATAATACTGCAACTACAACTAGTCAACTATCTGCAGATTATAACATTGCAACTTCAAATAACGAATTATCTACAGATTATAATACTGCAACTACAACTAGTCAACTATCTGCAGATTATAACATTGCAACTACAACTAACGAATTATCTACAGATTATAATTCTGCAACTTCAACTAACGAATTATCTACAGATTATAATATTGCAACTACAATTAACATCTTATCTACAGATAATAACATTGCAACTTCAACTAGCGAATCGTCTACAGAATACGATATTGCTACTACAAATAACGAATTATCTACAGAATACAATATCGCAACTTCAATTAATGAATTATCTACAAATTATAATACTGCAACTACAACTAGTGAACTACCTACAGATTATAACATTGCAACTTCAAATAACGAATTATCTTCAGAATATAAAAGTACAACTTCAACTAACAAATCGTCTACAGAATATGTTATTGCTACTACAAATAACGAATTATCTACAGAATATAATATCGCAGCTTCAATTAATGAATTATCTACAGATTATAATACTGCAACTACAAGTAGTGAATTATCTACAGATTATAACATTGCAACTACAACTAACGAATTATCTACAGATTATAATTCTGCAACTTCAAGTAACGAATTATCTACAGATTATATTATTGCAACTACAACTAACGAATTGTCTACAGATTATAATATATCAACTTCAACTAACGAATTATCTACAGATTATGATACTGTACACCAAACTAAGGAAGAAGTTAGAAACCATTTTAATACGGTGATTACAGAAAAACCGCGCACCGATGCTTTAAATTCTTCTTCCCCAACTGCAAAAGTGACATACAGACGGGCAAAGAAAGTAGTGTTCCCTGTGGAAGAAGCATTCGCTGCCCCAGTAATTGGAACATTGCCCCTGCTCGTGGTGGTTGTACTTGTATCTGGTATAGTAATGTTAGACTTCAGTCGCATTTTAAAAGACATGCGTAGAGCATCCAGGAATGTAAAGCGAGTATTAAAGAAACTGTGACATTAATAGCAGTATGCAAGCACTCCCGTTAACGACCCAATATGCACAACACGTATTTTCAGGTTCAAGCTGCGTTACCCTTAATTATATTTCTAAAATTCGCGATATGGTTCAAAAACAGAACCAGAGTATTTCACTTAAACGGAATATCTTAAACATTTGTTTGATTATGGAATTAACTTATAAGGGAGTAAGAATGCTATTTGATGTTTGACTTCCATCTTGCGAAAGAATCGATAGTAAATGTTTAATGAGATCATCAACATTGTAGATGACCATGATTAGTCAATATGAATCGAAATAATAGCACCTATTAAAGATGCATCCTTGTACATATGTAAAAACATTGCATCGTCTTTTATAATCATTGTAGTTGACCATGATTAGTCAATATGAATCGAAATAATAGCACCTATTAAAGATGCATTCTTGTACATATGTAAAAACATTGCATCGTCTTTTATAATCATTGTAGTTGACCATGATTAGTCAATATGAATCGAAATAATAGCACCTATTAAAGATGCATTCTTGTACATATGTAAAAACATTGCATCGTCTTTTATAATCATTGTAGTTGACCATGATTAGTCAATATGAATCGAAATAATAGCACCTATTAAAGATGCATCCTTGTACATATGTAAAAACATTGCATCGTCTTTTATAATCATTGTAGTTGACCATGATTAGTCAATATGAATCGAAATAATAGCACCTATTAAAGATGCATCCTTGTACATATGTAAAAACATTGCATCGTCTTTTATAATCATTGTAGTTGACCATGATTAGTCAATATGAATCGAAATAATAGCACCTATTAAAGATGCATCCTTGTACATATGTAAAAACATTGCATCGTCTTTTATAATCATTGTAGTTGACCATGATTAGTCAATATGAATCGAAATAATAGCACCTATTAAAGATGCATCCTTGTACATATGTAAAAACATTGCATCGTCTTTTATAATCATTGTAGTTGACCATGATTAGTCAATATGAATCGAAATAATAGCACCTATTAAAGATGCATCCTTGTACATATGTAAAAACATTGCATCGTCTTTTATAATCATTGTAGTTGACCATGATTAGTCAATATGAATCGAAATAATAGCACCTATTAAAGATGCATCCTTGTACATATGTAAAAACATTGCATCGTCTTTTATAATCATTGTAGTTGACCATGATTAGTCAATATGAATCGAAATAATAGCACCTATTAAAGATGCATCCTTGTACATATGTAAAAACATTGCATCGTCTTTTATAATCATTGTAGTTGACCATGATTAGTCAATATGAATCGAAATAATAGCACCTATTAAAGATGCATTCTTGTACATATGTAAAAACATTGCATCGTCTTTTAGATAAGACAATGCGCATTACGATAATTGATAAAAAAAATCCCTGCATATGAAATTCATCGCATATCCCTTCCATTTGCAACTACAAGACTATGTTCATCACGACCTTTTGAATGTTGGCTATACGGTTGTATATTGATTCGTATTATTCCTGTATTCAGAGACATGGACCTCCTGATGTTAATACCCTGAAGACGAAGCTCTCTTTTAAGAAGTGAAGTCAAACGAATGCAAAGGGTAGATGTTAATTGACGTCATATGAAACAATGTTTTGTTTTTGGACTGACGCATCGTTGCATTTACTTCATACCAGCCTACTTCATATACTGTATAACACTACATTCCTGCAGAGTGATTTACTTTTTATTCGAAAATGGAAATACGGGGCGGTTGCATAAATAGTTTCCAATTCTTTAATTCACCTAGCTCATGGGGACCTGGAGAAGTCAATTGAAATTGAAAAGCAGAACTATGACAGCACGCGGGGAGTCTAATCGTCCTACCATCCATCTCTAATGACCAAAAATGTGAGTCTGTCGGTTTACTAATTGTTTTGGAATTGATACATTAATATCGGTTAATTAAGTTGGAAAACACCATGGGAATTCCTCTATATTTATGATCACATGTCTTCTGACGTAGGGTCACTCGTGTGTTAGTCATTCAGTTAGCCTTTGTTGTGGAGGCAGCGTGTTCTAATATTTATGCAGATTTTGAACCATGTCAGTTTGTCGAAAAATCTAGTTTGTCACAAAACCTATGGATTTACTTGGATATACTCCACTGTACGCATGGAAACCGAGGCTTTCTAGATGTCAGCCTATTAAGAAACAACCTGGATTAATAATCATGAGATTCTGCAACATTAAATGCCAGAGGAAACATCCTCCCCAAACGGGAAAAATTGACCACTATTTCAAATGTCATTCTCATAATGTTCAAGGTAATTCGCGTTTAATTATTGCAAAAATCAAGCATACTTTGGTCAAACTATTGCACATCTGACGTTAAGTAAATCTAGGCGGGTATTAACTTCTTGCGTAAGTACACATTGTTGAGTGTCCTTCCTTTTATATCAATCGAGGGAGTTGTCATTCGTTAAGAGCAGGTGCAAATATACTTTACACGCGTGCAGAATATACTAAGAGCATATAGGATTATTAACACTAGATGAAGGTGAAGCTGTATTTATATGCACTGTAGATATTGCACGCATATCTGTATATGATCCTGAACAGTATGACCTTAAATCATGTATTGATCAAATCGAGAATACCATACAATACATACTGTTAACTTATTATTATACGCTTGTAGTTTTATCTCGATTTCACCAATATACCTTGCTTGTGTTTTGCCTGATTCTTTCATATTATGGAGCTAACGCTGATCTTCCTGTTGGTGGGTGTCTGGATGGGAAACGTCTCAGGTGATACAGGTATGGGATGTATTCATCAATCGTTTTATATTGTTCATCTTTATTAAGGTAGCTCCTTATTTTGAGATGTTTATGTAAATTTAAATGTTAATTGGCTATTATAAAATAAGTCATCTGGTAAAATTGTTCACATCTGAGGCCTAGGGATACATTGAAAATGTTTAAAAGGTCCCCCGGTGTATTGAGTTTGACAGTAATGTCATTATGCATGACGGTATAGTACATACATGTAGTCAAAATCATATTTCGATTCATTGACATTTGCATATTTGTTTTCAAATTTGATTGTGAAAGTGTGGAACTACCTTCATGCTCGTAGCCACTTTTTGCCAAGGGGGTTCAGGGGGAGTTTACATTTGACGAATTTGGCCCAAAATCATTTAAAAAGTGCCCCGAATCCCACTCCCCTGACTACGGGCCTGAATTGTTAATTTGTTGTCATACACAATGTCATAGGTTACTTTTGGCACGTGGCCGACCATCACTACGATCCCTCGTATTCAAGTAAACAAGAATCCTGTTTTCAAAAACAAGACCCGGATGTCCTCGGTTACTATGGCGACTACCTATGTGACCCACCATGGGTTTTGGTGAATAATTCCATATACGCTATGCAGAAAACTAAACCAGATCCCGATTTCATCATCTGGACGGGGTAAGGAATACCTTAATTTGTAATATTATGTGTTGGCAGTTATTATTGGCTGGAGGAACCTAAATTGACTTAAGGTAGAGCTGTATGTTGTGAAAAACTAAGTTGTAAACCATTTATGGAAAATATTATGTGTGACTGGAAATATCCAGGAAAATCAGTACCATGCTACAGCTAATTGAATATGAACTAAAAAGAACAAATACGAAAAAATCTATAGATTGTTAAAGGGACCCAACACCATGGTCACATGATCAGTCGTGTGGAGGTAAGCTCCCAGTTGAAATAAAAGCACTGTCCTCCTTTGGTTTCTGTGAAAAGTAGCTAATACCCTCATGTATTGGTCAGTTTGTGTGTCACACGACTAATCCATATCATATGCTTCATTCAACATATTTTATGCTATTGAGCTGCATATATAAACAGTACTTTGCAACTAAGGTCATACAGTATACTTACCCCTTGCAAATTGTAATTTATTGAATTCACAGTAAACCCATCAATTTTTAAGAAAACAAAGAATATTGTTCTCATGGATCTATTATTTATGTTAGACTAACTATGAAAATATAAATATGAAATAATATGTTAGCTTGAAGTCATATATAAGATGAAAATATATGTTCATGCATTTTTCCAAAGGGAATATTCCCATGAAAGTAAATACAGGTGCAATATATAATTTATATGTATATCTATGTCATCTGTCTATACATGCGCGTATAGCCTAGTGTTACATGTGAACATGATGGTTCTGGAAAGAAATGAGCGTGGCAGATTTGCTAAAAAGCCACATACACCACAAAAGCAAGACCAATTTGAAAGTAAGTTCAATATTCTCAAGGGTACACTTCAAGTGAAAGCTACATTGCTACAGGGTGGCCTATCATTCTGAGACAAATGTATTATCCAACGATTGTGATTTTCGAAGCTAAAATATGATATCTTGAGCAGATGGAAATACATTCCCATGAGATATGTATATATAGTCAAAAGTGATAACTATTTATTGAGTGTAATGAAATGTATCCTTCGCTAACTGCTTTTGTTTGAGATAATTATCATGAAATATTTTTAAATTAATTTTTATGTGTGTCATTGATCCTAATCCACCTTGTAGTCTGGTGTTTGTAGAGCATTGCGACTCGTACAACTTATTCTCACAAATATCAAACCTCATTTACTAATTAATATTTTGTGTGAATATGAAGAGTCCAAGCATTGCTTTTTTTATGTTTATTGTAAAGCTATATTTAGCCTTGATATCCATGATTTTTTAAAACAAAATCTCACCGTTAGATTTCGAGCTATTCATGTTTACTCATTTGTCTAATTGGAAAACAATGCAAATCTCATTTTTTCAAAGGAAAAAAATTGAAATTCTAAGACGGTGAAAAATCATTAAAAAATACACAGATTCAGAATCCGGCAAGCATTTTCCCTTATTCCTCTCCGTTAAGAAGTTTTGTAAAGTGTTGGATCCCTTTAAATAGGAAGACAAGAAATGGAAATCTTAGTTAGAATCAAACATTAATCTACCCCGTTCCTCCATGAAACATACAATATAAGGCCGGGATTAATTGTTTGAAGTCGTGGAAAAACAAAAACTAAGTTAATTTCGTTATGGTTTGACTCCCCCCCCCTCCCTCCAAAAACAACCTTTTCTCACTTAACAAAATTATTGAATTTTGAATCGTCTTTCACTTTAATATAAAAATAATCAACATGTTTTGCTTAACTCTTATTGTGTTACCAGGGACAGCACACCACATACCCCACATCATACTTTAGAAGACTTAAAGGAGATAGTCGCAAATATAACAAATCTGATTGAAGATGCCTTCCCTGGAGTGCCCAAGTTTGTTACACTCGGTAACCATGATTTTGTGCCTGTCCACCTCTCGCCCCCTCATAATGACAGCTTTTATAACTGGGTTGCTGAACTATGGGCACCTTGGCTTGCACGTGCTGAAAATATCAGTACTTTTCATAAGGGTATGTATAGGCTAATATATTATACAGTATATTTAGTTATTTATATGGTTACTAAGGGTATGTATAGGCTATTATACAGTATGTTTAGTTATCTGTGGTTACTTACCAGGGCACCCTGTCAAAAATGTTGCCACGTCGTCGTGATACATGTTGTTTTGTCATCAGTAGCTATGTTGGGTTGAGCTTTATGATTTAAGATACTCTGGTTAGCTCTGAACCCCCCATCCCCATCACCCCGACCCTCGCCCCAAAGGTAAGCAGGTTGCTCTATATGCACATCTAACACTGCTGTAGAGAGTGTCCAAAAAATTATATTTTCATGGATGCGATACTTTTTATTGTAATTCTAAAAGGTATATTATTCGGACTCCCTTTCTATGTAAAACTTTGATATTCTCTTCAGGTGCTTACTACACGGGGACGGTCACTCCTGGCATTAGAGCTGTCGTGCTGAATACCAATCTTTATAACAGCAAGAACAATCTCGTCGATGGGACAATGCCTGATCCAGCAGATCAACTGGCTTGGTTCGATAACATAATGACAAAAGCAGCCCTGGACAATGAAGTGGTAAGTTTTTCGTCACAACCGGGGGGATTTGCTCAAATTTTTAACTATGGGGCTAGAAGCTATTTCCACCAATTCTGAACAATCATTTTCAACTTGTATAAATGTGTGTATTTTTAACGATCGCCAAACGATAAAATAAAACTCTATTTAATAGTAAATGTTAGTAAAATCTACCCACTTTTATTCAACATCATACCGTTGTTATTATGATCTTCCCATTTCAGGTTCATGTTGTTGGCCATGTTCCGCCGGGTTGTATCGAAGATGGAACAGCAAAATGGTTTTACCCAGAATTCAACAAAAAACTGAATGACGCTATAATGAAACACCATGCGATTATTGTTGGAGCGTACTTTGGTCACCAACACTACGATAGTTTTAAAGTTTATATGGATGAGAATGGTAAGATTCGAAGATTTGGCAACTCTTTAACTTAGGGGTAAAATGATAACTATTTATACATATATGTATAATGAGACAACATGTGTCCTAGTCGTAAAACCGTCAATACAAATATGTGCTGAAAACATTGGCGTTTGACTGACATTTCGTCCATGTTCTCCTATCCTATATTCCTATATCTTCCAGGTGAACCATTGAGCTCATTTTTTCTGACCCCCTCAGTAACTCCATGGACCTACTTCTCCGCTACGGTGAACGGTAGTGCTCACAACCCAGCTGTGCGGCTTTTCCAGTACAACAAAGAGAATGGCAAACTCAACGACTTCTTCCAATACTACCTCAATCTACCCGAAGCAAACAAAATGCGCAGACTAGGATTGGGTGAACCCCAATGGGAGCTAGAATACAAGGCTACTGAATACTTCAATATCCCTGACGTCACTGCTACGTCATTAGGCGCACTTTCTAATAAACTGAAGATCGAGGATGATGTATTTAATAAATACCTAACGGCGTATTATGTTAATGCTTCTGCTATTGATAACTGCGATTCTGCCTGTAGGTCAAGTCATGTTTGTGCAATACAAAATCCTGACTTTGATATGTACGAACAATGCTATAAAAAGGCCGTCACCAGCGACGCATGCGCAGTAGCTTCAGTTTGGAAAATATCGTTGTTAGGTATATTAATATTGTGTTCGTTGATTTAACGCTTCGAGAATAGATGGTAGCTTTTTTATTTAATCCCAAACATGATTCCATGTCTACAGGGTGATCATTAAGTTCTGGGAATTGGTCTGCCATTTCAAGATTTTCAACCATTTGAGTTGAAATTTTCAGCAAGTGTGCATTGTATAATTCTGAATTGACAAGCAATGTTTCATATACATATTACATCTACAATTTATTTTATTGTAATTACAAAATAAGTAAAAGTGGTTCGCGGGTCAGCAAATTTTGACTGATGTTAATTTGAAAATTTCCTACCAAAACATATTCATCTTGCCTAGATGGTTGCTTCAAACTACTTGTACTGGAGGCAGAACAGTACTCTTGAAGTCATTTATTCAGAAGTATTATTCATTGCTGAGAGGATCATTTCATTTATGGTTTTTTCCATTCCCCGGCGAAATGAATGTGAATTAATCATGAATATTCAGGTATAATTCATGGGAATTCATGAACTTTTTTCATGAATAATTCATCAATGAAGAATATTGAAGAATAAATATACCTGAACTATTCATGAATATGACTGAAATACAATTTGGACTCATGAAATATTCATGAACTGTATATTCATGAAATATTCATGATATCACATTCCTTAAAAATTCATTTCTTGAAATATTCATGAAAAATAAGCCTCATATTTCTTGAAATATTCATGAAAAAAGCAAGCCTCATAGTTCTTGAAATATTCACCACCTGTATATTCATGACATATTCATCACCTCTATATTCTTGAAATATTCATGATATTCTATTCCTCAATATTCTTGAAATCTTCTCCAGGTTTAGCTTCATTTTTCTTGAAATATTCCTCAACTGCATATTCATGAAATATTTATCACCTGTATGTTCATGAAATGTTACTCAATGAAAAATAAATATACCTGAACTATTCATGAATATGACTGAAATACAATTTGGACTCATGAAATATTCATCAACTCTATAGGCTATTCATAAAATATTCATCACTAGTATATTCTTGAAACATTCATGATATTCTATCCCTTAATATTCTTGAAATCTTCTCCAAGTTTAGCTTCATTTTTCTTGAAATATTCCTCAACTGCATATTCATGAAATATTTACCACCTGTATGTTCATGAAATATTACTCAATGAAAAATAAATATACCTGAGCTATTCATGAATATGACTGAAATACAATTTGGACTCATGAAATATTCATCAACTCTATAGGCTATTCATGAAATATTCATCACCCGTATATTCATGAAATATTCATGATATCACATTCCTTAAAAATTCATGAAAAGTAAGCCTCATATTTCTTGAAATATTCATGAAAAATAAGCCTCATATTTCTTGAAATATTCATGAAAAAAGCAAGCCTCATAGTTCTTGAAATATTCACCACCTGTATATTCATGAAATATTCATCACCTCTATATTCTTGAAATATTCATGATATTCTATTCCTCAATATTCTTGAAATCTTTTCCAGGTTTAGCTTCATTTTTCTTGAAATATTCCTCAACTGCATATTCATGAAATATTTATCACCTGTATGTTCATGAAATGTTACTCAATGAAAAATAAATATACCTGAACTATTCATGAATATGACTGAAATACAATTTGGACTCATGAAATATTCATCAACTCTATAGGCTATTCATAAAATATTCATCACTAGTATATTCTTGAAACATTCATGATATTCTATCCCTTAATATTCTTGAAATCTTCTCCAAGTTTAGCTTCATTTTTCTTGAAATATTCCTCAACTGCATATTCATGAAATATTTATCACCTGTATGTTCATGAAATATTACTCAATGAAAAATAAATATACCTGAACTATTCATGAATATGACTGAAATACAATTTGGACTCATGAAATATTCATCAACTCTATAGGCTATTCATGAAATATTCATCACCCGTATATTCTTGAAATATTCATGATATTCTATCCCTCAATATTCTTGAAATCTTCTCCAGGTTTAGCTTCATATTTCTTGAAATATTCATGACATTATATTCTTCAACATTCTTGAAATCATCTCCTGTATACGACCTCATATTTCTTGAAATATTCACCAACTGTATATTCATGAAATATTCATAACATTATATTCTCCAACATTCTTGAATAATTCATGAATTAACTCACATGTATGTTCATGAACTATTACTTAAATGAAGAATAAATATTCATCACCTGTATATATTCAGTTCCTCAATGTTCTTGAAATCTTCTCCAAGTTAAGCTTCATTTTTCTTGAAATATTCCTCATCTTAAAGTATTAGCATATAAAATTCGAACCAAATCCATCTATTGATAGTTGATTTATCAACAAGCAAAGCTCCTTTGTCCCTACCCCAGTGAAATGGCATTGAATAATTCCTAAATATTCATGAATTGCTCATCAATATTCATGTAAAATATTGATGAATAATCCAACAATGAAGAATAAATATTCATGAAGAATTCATGAATATGCGTGAACATCAATTGAACATCAACTTGGACACTTCCCGAAAATTCTCCAAATTGAATTACTTGAATATTCATGAATAAACTTTCATGGACTTTTGTGTTTTCCCGCCTAAAACAATCATTTCATTTCTGAGGAATTCTGGGATAGGTTATGATTCATAATTCTTCAAATATTCTTCAAATGAGTTGGTGAAAAAATAAAGAATATCTAAGAACATATTAATTCTTCATTATTATTTGAATATCCTTTAAACAAAGTGGTGAAAATATGAAGCATTTCCAAGATTTTCATTAATGCAAATGTTATTTTTTATTCTTCAAGTACCCTTCAAATGAGGTCGTGATTTAGTTCTTCATCATTATTCAAATGTCCCTTTAACAAATTGTTCCCATGTTACAAAAGAGCTTCATGTTTTTCTTAAAGTTATTAAACATTTTCCCCAATATTCCTCAAATATTCTTCAAACAGAATGGAAAAAGAAGAATTTCTAAGAATAAATCTTTAGATAAAAATAAAATGGCTGATTTCTATATGAAAACTCCAGATCTTGAGATATCTCCTCTCTAGGTGGAAATAGCTATCTAATTATTGATCTAAACAAGATAATATGTGTCACCTACCTTTTGGCATATGTTCCTGTTTCTCTCTCCACATATTTTAAGGACATGTCCCTTTTTAACAAGAGCTTCAATTTCATGTTTTACTAATGTGTTTTTTCCCGCCTAAAACAATCATTTCCTTTTTGAGGAATTCTGGGAAAGGTTATGATTCATTATTCGTCAAATATTCTTCAAATGAGGTGGTGAAAAAATGAAGAATATCGAAGAACATATTAATTCTTCATTATTATTCAAATATCCTTTAAACAAAGGGGTGAAAATATGAAGCATTTCCAAGATTTTCATGAATACAAAATGTTCTTTATTATTCTTCAAATACCCTTCAAATGAGGTGGTGAAAATTGAAGAATATCTAAGAACATATTAGTTCTTCATTATTATTCAAATATCCTTTTTACAAATTGTTGAAAATATGAAGAATTTTCAGGATATCCAAGGAAACAAAATCTTCTTTCGTATCCTTCAAATATCCTTCAAATTAGGTGGTGCAAAGGTGAAGAATATCTGAGAACATATTAGTTCTTCATTATTATTTGAATATTCTTCAACAACATGGTGAAAATATCAAGGATTTTCAAGATTTCAAAAAATACAAAAGGTTCTTCATTATTCTTCAAATATTCTTCAAACATTTTGGTGAAAATATGAAGAATATTTAAGAACATAAATATTCTTCAGTATTATTCAAATATCTTTCACACAAGGTAGTGAAAAAAAGAAGAATATCTAAGAATAGAGATGTTCTTTATTATTCTTCAAATATCCTTCAAACAAGGTGGTGAAAAAATGAAGAATATATAAGAACAGATGTGCTCTTCATAATTATCCAAATTTTCTTCATTCAGTGTGGTGAAATTATAAAGAATTTTCAAGAACATAAAATTTTCTTTATTCTTCTTCAATTATTCACCATAGAAATTGTAGAATATTCAGGAACATAAATTATTCTTTATTATTCTTCAAAAATACAAGAATATGGTTAAATCTTTATTCTTCACAATTCATATCGATATTACAATATTCATCACACCTGAATATTCATGAATAATTCATGAATATTCATATCACAAGAATATCATTTCGCCGGGGTTAGCCTGGACGCACATGCGTTGTTGACAAACTTAGTCCATAAAGATGTGTTCCAGTCCTCCCTTTGGTATACCTTGAAGATTTGCTCAAGCCGTTGAATTCAGTCCCTTATCGGAATCAAACTTATGACCTCTCATATAATGCTTTAGCACCCAAAATGTAGTGAAGCCTAATAGTGCTTCATCTGGTGAATATTGTCTGATGAATACGGGGCAGTAATAACTTGTGTGAACCCTAATTCTTCAAGAGTACTATTGGCAGCTGGAGTAATGGGAAGGAGCAAAGTCATAATGGAAGATAACTTCCCACTATTTTTGGTCATGATTGTGACTTTGAGATGCTGATGAATGGTACGAAAATAGAGCAAAGTACACTCTTATATAACAATAAAGATGCTACTTTAGAAACTAAAGTTAGATGTATTTGAAAAATATAAAAAATCACAGAAATATGTCCACCAAATAGGCATTTATTAACCATAGTTTTGGATCAAGCAAAATTTGAATTCATTTTTATTTTACTTGACCCGCTACGCCATTCGTCATGTTGCTATGGTAACAATAATTATCCATTGTGACATCAGGTGACTATGAGACTGTTTTATCCAACCCAAAATTACATTCCCCATTTACCTTGAAAATTTCAAGTAAATTGGTTGAAAAATAATGAAATGACAGATAAATTCCCAGAACTTAGTGATCACCCTGTATATCACGGAAAAGTATATCTATGTAATCAGATACGCTCCATAAGCTGATCCAAAATACTTGCTTAATAGGAGATAGTGATGTGCTATAGGAGATAATGTAGATGTGCCTAAAATGATTGTATAAAAATTAACTTAGAAGAAATGGCTTCTAAAACAACACAGCGTTTATATACTGATATATAATTATGTTTAAACCATTTAAATGCTGATTATTCCATTGTTATTATCAGTACCACAAAATGAATATTAAAGGGGCAACAAGGAATGTAGAGAGAAAATTCGAATTTTTTTTTTTTTTTCTGAGTTGATCGAAAACAAAAAAGCTTCTGTTATGAAAGTGTTCTTCTATACAGAGATCTCGTCTACATTAAATGTATTTAATGTGCCACGGGGAAATTTACACATTAGAAAGGATGCTAAAATAACACAACACCGATGTACAGTTTTTATGATTGAATACTGATTATATCATTATTATTCTGTGTATATAAAGATAATGGGTAACATGACTTTGAAAAATGTTCTGCATATGCATATATGCAAATAAATGATACATACAAAAGACTGCATTAGTGAGCCATGCATTATACTGTTATATACTATACATTAAAGATATCCTCGTCATTTCATAACGAAAATATGTTACAATTAGACTAAATACTTCTACGTCAACGTCACATGTCCTGATGTAAATAAAATGAAAAAAGTATTATTTATCAACAGAAATTTAAAATTCACCGTGCGGCTGCCATGGGAAATGTGACTTCAAAGTATGAGAGCGCAGAAATTCTACGGCGAGCGTAGAAAAGCTACTGGCCGCAGAAATGATAGACCGCACGGCGGCCGTGGGAAATGTGACTGGGGTGTAAATACGTGTTTCTTTGAATATATAACTGCTTGTAAGCTGAGTATGAAGTCATATGATTTAGATAAATTCATTTAAACTCCGCCTCTATCTCCTTTTAAATCCTATTTTCCCCATCATTAATTAAGCTAAGCATAAACTGATAAAGTTGTGTGGTTCAAATGGGCCGTCTTGCGGCCTTTTTTTTATATTTACAACATATTATTAATGTATTTTAATATGTCATTATACTTTAAAAAATGGGCCGTCTTGCGGCCTTTTATTACTATTTATAAAATCATACTATGTCCCGGTCTCATGTACATTTACAGAATTACTAACGCGCAATGGTACATCTATTTTCGGAAGACTCTTGAACAATGGTTTTAGCATAATATATAACATGTTAGATATCAAAACTTAGGTAATTGAAATGAAAATTACATGGTATATTAATATTTAATTTTTATTTTTTTATTTTTTAGATTAGGGACGCTTAAAAGACTCTATTGAGTTTTAAAGTGCACATTTTTACCATGTAAAACGTTGCATTTGATAATTTTGAAATATGGTAATTTGGTCATAACGTTTTTATTCCTTAACCAATTTAGTTCAAATTCGGTATGGGACAAAAATTGCTGATAGGCGTTTATGACGTCACATGATCTTGTGACGTCATCAACGCATATCCGCCATCTTGGATGCCCAAGAAATAGTAAAAATGTGTAAAACTCGAAAAATAACTGTTGGTAAGGACCTTAGGCCCTTATCATCTTATTTAAGAATCAAACCTATGAAAAAGATGTCATTTATGCTTATTCTATATATGTTTAACTAGAACTTAACGTTAAAAATATATGTTTTGTATTCATTCTGTTTACATAGCAAACATTTTGCGACTTGTGTCTGTTTTGTACGAAGAAAAAAATTGATAGAAATATGGCGGGTTTCAAAGACTCTCGTCATTTAAATACACGAAATTATGTTTTTCTCGTGGCATTCAACTAGATCTTTTTTAATGTCATAAAAGCATTGCCCTTATACTACATATACTATAATTTTAAGTTCAGTTGCATTGCTTTGCATGTATTTGGACCAGGTAATATGACTTGGTCAAATTCAGCATTCTTTTGTTCCAAAATATTTTGACGTTGTAAAAATTGATTAGGGTGTTTTTAATAGCAGTCTAAAATGATATCAGGAAAACAAATGATAACACATTTGGTATGTAGAGAATGCTCATAGTCCATATTTTATTATTCCTCACGTTTAACATCTTTAGATCAAGCGAAGTATGAGATTTTCCTTTAAACGTGCGTGACAGAGAGTTGTCCCATCTCGATTTTTTTCCTTTGGATTTTAGTAGGCTGAATCCAGGGAAGAAAGGAATGAATATAAACTTTGAAAATATATGATGTTATATCATCATACAAATGCTCATAAACTCAAGATTCCAATGATATATCACATGACTATCATCCCTTCTTAGATCTTTAGTTATTGTTTAATATGTGCGTGACATAATTTGTCCCATCGACGATTATTTTTACAAAAATAGAGAAATACGACGTCATATCAGCGCTACAGCAAATCGTGAAGAACAAAATGCTCTCAAGTCGTGGCATATGTTGAACAAAATATTTTAAATGATCGGTTTTTGAGGATGGTAGTGAATTAGACCATTCAAGGGGTTATATAGAAAGATTCTTCACATGTAGTTCAGGCAATTTTAATTATTCTGAGTAGCGGATAGTCATTAATACTGATAGCGGAAAGTCATTTATCATTAATGTGTTCATATTGAATTTCGTTATTTTATTTCAATTTGATACCCTATTAACACGTATAATCTAGCGTTCTTGTTCATTTAATGACTAAAATGCATATACAACCTAAAAGCCCGTGTCTAAATCTACAAAATAATGTTTGCTTTATTTGGATTAAATAACAATTGATGACACCTCAAAGCATCAACAGGCGGCCGTTTTAGCATTATTTTCACTGTTTGCAAAGTAAATGTACATGAGATCGGGACATAGTATGAATATGATTAATGTATTTTAATATGCCATTATTCATTAAAATATGATTTATGTATTTTATAATGAACGTAAAAGTATTTTTTGAAACAATATTCAAAAGCGAATGCGATCAATGATTCCCAGTCCTCTGAAGTTTGAAAAATGAAAATACCTGGGTGTTAATCCATAGACAATCCAATTTGTGTCATGTGTGGAGAACATCAAATTACTTATGTGGAATTACTAAATGCACAGTAAAACAGTGATAGAGACCATGACTTTTGTATACTGGGTTCATTGTTTCTTCCTTTTACTAAGATGAAACATCTTCCCAAAGTTGATGTTCCTGAAAACAAGTGGAAAAGGAAACCCTGAGCAATCAGTGATTTAAGGGCCCTCTGGTTTACCCAATACCCCCTGGGGGGTCCCACACATCACAGTGGATTTAAAGATTTACATCTTGTATATATTATGACAGTATCACAGTTCTAAGATAGTATGTCAAAAGTGCTGTAAAGTGGCACAATCAATATTATATGGCCTTCATCCACATTCATGCCACTTACATTGGCAGATAATCGTTCTGTACTTATAGTCAATAAAATATTTAAAAGTGTATTTATGTTTTTTTGGATGATAATCGGGATGCATGAGAAACCTCCCCTGATTCATTCTACAAACACCCCCCCCCCCCCTCCTTTAACTTCTGCTTGATTCTCCTAATCTATAGTAACACATAGTTCGATCTTTCTTATTCATTTCATTCTTTACATTTTTGACATTTCAGTACTTCTTGTTTTGGACCTCGTTGTACATGTGCCTGAACCTGTAATTATAGAACCATCTTTTGGTTTTTGACCACAGCACATCTCTGCTAGACGATTTCTAAATCCTGCTCTCGCCACGCAATATATGAAAAAATTGATTGATGAATTGACGATTCTCAATAGGAATCTAAACTCTGAAATTTTTGACAAGATATGTCTTGAAAGTATATCTTTTTTGAAAGTTTTTATTACAAGTATCATTGTGTTCATACATGAGGGTACCATACATATGAGAAATATAACAGCCACGCTTATAAGAGTAACACTGAGGTTAGTATCAGCTTTAACTGATGAAGCTCCGTCCCAAGACATCAAGGCTCTCCTTTTAGCAGCCTTGTTAAGGCCATGCACTGTAAGAACATTAAGAACTAACAGGATTATTACTGGAGCAACGGGCTGAAAGATCAAATAGATGAAAACTCTGTAGCCGATCATATATGCTTTATTATCACTGACATTTGTGAGTTCAAGCGTATAGAATTCTTCATGAGTGCAAGGATGCCCCCCAGCCGGTCCCCAATCTTTGATACGATATTCAAAAAACTTGGGAATATGAATAGCAAAAGAAAAAATGGTAACAACAGCTAACGTAATTCGAGCGCGTCCTATCGTACAAAGGGTTGAAGCTTTAAACGGATGACAAACGGCTATATAACGATCAACCGAGATAGCCACCAATAGCCATGAACTAAATGTAGTGAAAATAATGGTCAGATACTGCGTAATAGGAAAAATGGACATCATATGGTGATTGGCATCAATTGATTTATCAAGAAGATGGGTGTGTAGGTACAAGAAATATGGGAACTCGAACGCTACAACACTGACACATGCTAACCAATCCACAATGGCCAATGCCTTTAAATAAAACATACTTGTCCCCTTTGCAGGGTCCTTGTACAACACAAAAAATGACAAGGTGTTGCCGAAAATACCAAGTACAGCAAATACAGTAGCAGCGATATAACAAGCTGATCTAAAATCTGCTAAATGGTATGGGTCTCCATCGGCATCATTATACGGGGGTTCACAGTAATATGGAATTTTTTTAATTACAGAGTTGGTTGCAACACCGCTAGTGCTAGCATTTTCTGAAATGTTATACACAGTCGTAGCAAGTGATGCATTGTTTTGTCCCTGTGTTGTTATATTGGCTCCAGCATTTGTTGATTCATTACTAACGTACGTTGATGGCGTCGTCGTAACATTTTGATCATTACATTCTAGTGAAGCATCGGTTATGTCGGGCCCTTCACTGTCGGTTATATTCAGCTGGAGAACAGTCACGCCTGGAGCTGTGACGACCAATCGAAACATCATTGCAATCAAGAATGCGCTTGGCGTCATCCCTGAAGAGAAAAACGACACTTGATGTATGTAACCACACATTTAGGTAATATATAAGAATCATGAAATCCATTAAATCAATGCATTTGAGATTTCCTTGAGTGATTTACTATAGTATATCACAAGATCACAACTGCACACATTTTAGAGTAGTTGACAAGAGCTCATGCCTGCTACCGAGGGAAGAGTCGAGTCAGCTTAAACGTAAGTTCAGCTCCTGAACCAGAAGTAAGCCATTTTGAATTTGCTTGGCAGGTATTTATGATATCATAGCGGACGTTCAGCCAATTTAAACCCGTCTTTGCACGTGTATGACATTTTGGCATGAGATATACTCCCCAAAGAAAGTTAAGGACCAGTGGTTTTCCTCAGACTAGGTTTACATGTTAACCCCCATAGGTGAATTGAATTGAACAAGTTAGCAAAAATATAGCTATTACACCAAACAAGTTGCCACTGCGTTCTTCAAAACTGGTTTTAAACTGTGTGCGAACGGAATGAGCGTAGCTGCAACTTTCTAAGGTCTATTTACGAACTTCATGAACGTTCTCAGACGGGAAGGTGATTTTAGAATTTTGAGGCGACCATACCTTTCTGTAATCAGGTCATGATGACCTTCTAGACTAAGGGACGCGTTATACGACGTTGGTGCGACCTGAACGAACTGCGAATGAGATGGGCGTAGTGAAGACGAAGTAGCAAATTATTTTAGACATATTTCCCGACCACAGCCAGATTGAGCCCGTTTACGACGTTTTCGTAGGACTGGCAAGAACGGGTAAGAACTAGTTTGGTGTGATAGGGGGGGGGGTAACCCTACTAATCAACGACAATACATAAGAACTAGTTCTCACTACGTTCTCGAAAACGGGCTTAAACTAGTGTGCACGAAAAGATTTGACGTACTACGAACCCACTAAGAACCGTTTGGGATCTGTTTACAAACTTCATGAAACTACTAGAACGAGTAGGTCCTCCAGCACTTAGAGCATGCTCAACATTTTCTGTTGATCATCAAAACGTTGCCGAATCGGTTTTAAACTGTGTGCGAACTGAATGAACGTAGCTACAACGTTCTACGGTCTGTTTACGAACTTCATGGACTTTCCCGGACGGGGTATGTGATTTAGAATTTTGAATCGATTCAAAATTCGATGGCGACCATACCGTTCTGTAATCAGGTCATGATGACCTTCTAGACTAAGGGACGGTTTATACTACGTTGCACACCGACGTGGTGCGACCTGAACGAACTGCGAACGTGATGGACGTATTGAAGACTGTTTATGAACGAAGTAGCTAATTATTTTAGGCATATATCCCGACTGCAGCCAGATCGAGCCCGTTTTACGACATTTTCGTAGGACTGGCAAGAACGGGTAAGAACTAGTTTGGTGTGATAGGGGGGTTATATAAGTAGTTTATTAAATGGGTTTTTCGAATTGCATTCGGGCCTTTTACTATCTTTGTTTATTAATATACACATAAGATGTCATCTGCATTAAACAAAGTTCTGATCATGCAATTTAACTTAGCTTTAATCATGGTTTTCCTTATCCATTTGGACCTAACAGCAAATTACTTGTAATAGTTAAATATGAGAAATAATTATGCAATCTACATCAAGTCCTCATATAAACAAGTATCTTGCTTATAAAGCAAACCAGACTGAAATCGCATTGATACGTGTTTGTGTTACATGAAGTCAAAGAACACTGTCAATAAAAACGTATCTTTACGTTCAGTGCGATTGAATGGAGACGTTAAGCAAATACGATTTTTCAAAACGTATACGTAAACGCAAAATACATTGGATCAACATAGGGTTGTATCGCTTTAAATAGTCTACTTCAGATACCCGTTCAACTTCAAAGTTGCGTGTTTAGAACGGGAGATTTTAAATTTCACGTTGCTATCAACGGGAATCATTATACTCATGTCTGTTGAATACTATCCTTGCAATTTTGATTTCGATGCAGAGTATAATTCTTTCTGAAGAAGATGATGTATGTTACGCATGATTTAACTCCAATAATCTTACGAAACGAGCTCGTTTAAAATATGTATTAGAAAACCAGCTATTGAACTTCATCAATGGCATACTATGTAATCATTACAAGCTATGGTGTAGTCTAAACAAACACTAGAGCTGAACGGCTATTTATGTGTGAACTCTACATGTATTTGTATAGGGGGATTGATACGTTTAAGTTGCGTTTTGGATTTTATACGGTAGCTTAACCTCTCCAATATCTCAATCCCAGAACGATCGATTAAATAAAATTCTGGTTTCAAAAAAATTAACGAAGATTGAATAAGCAAACAATATGTTGGATATGTAGTAAGTGTATGAAATTATGAAAATGATTACTAACAAATCCCCCCATGTTCACTTCATTTTTAATATTAAGTACAGATCTAGACCATTTGCTTTACAAATTCCTTTACAAAAATATGTACAAATAAGGGAAAATAAATTTTCCATCAAATAATATCCCACCTATTAAATGAAAAAAAAATCTGATGTTTTTTCAATGTTATTTTGCAATCGCAGAGCTATACCACGTTATTATATTTACTCAAAATAAGTTAATTGAGTGTTGTATTTTAAAGTACGTAGGCTTGTTTGTTTTTAAATATTTATGAAATGTCATAACATACCATTTCAAATTGTTGACGTAATTTTGAATACCTCTTTTGGTTGTGTTATCCTTATTTACAATAGAAGATTAATACCGTCTTAATTTACTTTTGTTTTTTCCACACTGCTGCTTAGATTGCCCTATCACCAACCATAACGCTTGCTCAAGTTTAGTTTGTCCAATGAAGCGACTGATCAATGAAGCAGTTTTTCATTGATGTATAATCATATTCCAAATACCAAAAAAGTCATAACACTCTTGATATTGGCCCATGGTATTACATATGATATCCATGTGTGCAAGACGGCTACCTGATAGGCTACATGATGCAATCTGAGCAATCACAATCCATCATTTTAGTTTGGAATATGAAATTGTATAATATCACCTTTAATCATATGTGGTTATCTTAACCCTGATGCCTGCAAACCCAAACCATTGTTTATATTTAAAATCTATTTTTATAAATGTTTAATATGTACACTTCATTGCGTTGTTATATAAACCAAACAGCGCAATAGGGTGTGTATTCAAAAGCGTTGATTATCAATTATTCCCAGCCCTTTGAAGTTTTAGCAATGAAAATACCTCGGTGTTAATTCATATAGATAATTTCAAGAATTTCTGAAAACCAAATTGGACGAAGGTTAAAGGTCGAAGCTACAGGTCGAAGGGTTTTTAGAGCATTCCTTTGGAAACAAGTATTCTGTCATATCTGTGCTGTGAACACAACGTACTACGCCATTTTTGTTGTCCCTAAAATCTCAGGTTAGGCTACCTACGGATGCAGCTGAGACGGGTGCAACGTAATCGTGAGTATGTATGAGCATCGCTCATCTCGAGCAAACACAGGTCCAACAGTTTTTATTTGAATTTATATCCTAGCATTATAATTAGCATTTATTGTACTCACGTGATGTAAATAAAATGAAATATAAACATTAACGTTTGTATAATATAAAGTGCGTACAGCTGTAGTGTCGAAACAGGCTGTTTGAAGCAGGGCCGCCTTGCACCTGCCTTTGTATCTTGAAAAAAAACATACGCCTTAGACCGTACGGTAACCATGGGCCACCATTTTAAAGGTCGCCCGGCAACCGATGTTTTTTTATATTTACAGAAATTCAAAATTCGCCGTGTGGCTACCGTAAGAAAGGTAAGTGCAAAAGTATACGATCGCTGAAATTTTAAGGCAACTGTAAAAATGTTAATGACCGCAGAGATGATAGACCGTACTGTCGCCGTTGCAAATGTGACTGGGACCTTTGTGGAGGGAGCGGGCAATTTCACATTTTGATTCCCAACAAAGTTAAAACACACTAGTTGACAGATTTTGGTATCTATTTTCACAGGTTTTCTACAGGTGGCCTCAAAACAGAGTTTGAGGAAAACTTCTGTTTTAAGTGTAACAACGCTAAGAGTATAAAAGCTTTTGAAAGACTTGGTTCAAAATTTGTTTTTATCAAAAATGTTTTTTAAATATTTATAAAAAGGCAAAACATACCGTTTCAAATTGTTGACGTAATATTGAATACCTCTTTTGCTATCTTTCTTTAGAATAGAAGATTGATATCGTCTTCATTTACTATTGTTTCCTTCCACATCAGCTGTTTAGATTCCTCTATCACAGACAACAACTCTTGCCTACTATTTTAGTTCGTTCATTGAAACTACTGAAAAATCGAGCAGTTTTTCATTGATGCATTTACATATTTCAAGTACAATAGGATTCATAACTGTCTTGATAATGAAATTACATATAATATTCATATGTGTGAATAGGGTATCAGTTGAGCAACATTATCATTTAGATTGAATTATTAAGTGGGGTAATCTGAGCGATCACAATCCATCATTGTAATTTGGAATGTGATAATTTATAATATTAAGTCTTTGTCATAGTGTATAATTTAACTATAATGTCTAGAATTTTTCAAGAGGTTTGGAGAACAGTCTCCTGGGCAAATAATTTGTTTTCATGAAAAATATAGGAATATCACCCAAATTGAATTGTGAATATTCAAAAGGGGACATTTAAATCTACAAGCTAGATATCAAAATTGTGCGACGCAGTACCGTGCAGTAGACAGATTTAATAAAAGGCAAGTTCGACAAGTTCACCAGTGTACTAAATATAGAAATATCACTCAAATTAAATTATTATTCAAAAAAGGACATTTAAATCTACAATATGTAAAAATATCAAAATTGTCTAAAGCAGGTGTAATGTGCAGTGACTGACGAACTTCGCTCTCCAAACCGAGACTAGTCTT